AGTGTCCAGCTCCTATTGACTCTCGATAATCCCGTCCTAGGCATTGTTTTGATGCACGAAGTGACTTCGTTCAAATTCCGCTTACTCGTTTTATCGGCGCTCGTTTCCACTGCTCGCTTGACGTCCGAGTAAGCTTGCTTGACCATTGCAAATCAACGCCCGTTGCTTGACCTCGCCTCACCTAGGCTTACAAATCTATACTGTTCTCAGTCCCTTCCCCTGAACACTTGTTTGTCATTGATTGTCTCACTCTGTTCCACTTCTAAGATTCAGTGCTTACCAGGATTGTCTTGGTAACGTCTCCTTGATTTTCCCCTCGCTTTCAGGCCCCGCAGGCCTCCCCCATCGCGATTATTGTCGCCCTTATCTTGTTTTCCCTTTTCACCCCTCAATCTCTCCTATTAAGCCCCTCCCTCTCTTTTCTTCCCTCTGCAAGTGGCCCGAGCAACCGTCCGTTCTTGTTCCGTCTCCACCCCCTCTCACATCAATCCTGTCAGCTGTTAGTCTTTTCGTGCTTGCTTCAGGAGGCCCCGTAAGCAACCGTCTTTAGCTTTCCCTGCTCAAACTTGCACATCACAATCTCTCCCCCTAAGTTTCTGAAAGTTGCTCATGAACCCGCTCGTTAACCCGCTCAAATCGACCCATTAACCCGCTCATTAACTCCGACAGGTTGCCCCCCTGGTGACCGTCTGCTTCCTCACCTGCTACTCCGTGCTCAACATCTTACCTCATCCCTTCCCTGAATACCTGAGACCCACTCATTAACCCGCTGATTAACCCGCTCATCAACCCGCCCACTAACCCGCTTCTTAACCCCAACAGGTGGCCCCCCTGGTGACCGTCTGCTTCCTCACCTGCTACTCCGCGCTCAACCTCTCGTGCTTCGTCCTCGCGGTCCTGCGCGCGCCGTCCTGGCGCCCCACCTGGCGCTTCTTCCACTGGACCACCGCTCTAGTTGGCGCCCTCCTCAGCTTCGGCCTCATGTTCACCGTCGTCTGGTATTGGGCGGTGGCAACGGTTGTGGTAACGATCCTGCTGTACCTGTACATCGACTTCCGGCAGGTGCAAGTCGACTGGGGGACGGGGCTCGGGGGGCTGAGGCTACAGCTGGCGGTGCACAGCATTCTGAGTGTTGGCCATGAGGTGAGATGCAGTCAAAGGGTGGCCCTTTACTTCTGGAAACCCTATTCCTTCAGAACTACCATTTCGGATTCCGGAAGCAGTTTGCTTCGAGAGGCTCGGGGTGGCGGGTGGAACATGGGGAAGAAGACTCTAGCTCTGAGATAGTTGTAGCACTGAAATGATCTCTTTTTGTTTGGGTAAGCCACTTGGGGTTTTCAAACGTGCTTCGTAAGGTTAACTGGCCGTGCGGAGGGGGTTTGGAACGTGCTTTGTAAGGTTAAACTGGCCGTGCGGAGCAGTTCGAGCTTCGTGCATGTAAGTTTGTCCTGATTGCCCTGATTGACTGGCTAGCATAATCATCTTCCTCAGTACTTAGGCTCGTCTCTTTTGCCTTTGTTCTTGATGTGAGTCGATAATTGTTGATTGTTGAGTTCATTGATGGACGAATTGTTACACATTTTCCCCCCTGACACCTGTCGATCAGGGTACAGCGGATCCTCGAGTGGTTGGTCTCGGCACTCCTTTTACATCTCAAACCCATGTAAGCAATCTGCCATGTGGCAAAAACGTCTGATAAGGCGAAGAAAGGAGCGCATCTTAACACTGTTCAGACATTGTCTCTCATCCTTTATGTTTCCTCGGTTTAAGACGTACGTGCAAGACGTCCTCAGTGAAGGCGTTCAAAGACCCCGAACTCAACATTGGAACGCGGCCCACTGCACCAAGCAGCGCTTGATCAAACGCAGGAGGGCTCCTCGAATTATCTCCGCACGATTGCAACGATTTGTCCTCTTTTTGCAGAGTCGGTACTCCGTCAACTGGCGGCCGCAGCTGCTGGTGCTGACGAAACCGCGCGAGGTTTGGGAGGCGCACTCGCACGCGGGCGACCAGCTTCTTGCATTTGCCGCCCAGCTGAAAAAGGGACAGGGGCTCTCCGTCGTGACCGTCATCGTGGAGGGCGACCTCAACAATTCCCAGAAGTTCAAGGAGGCACAGGTAACAACAAGCACTTATCTAAACCGCCTTGAACTGTCATGCCTGTGCATGTCAAGAAGAGAATCTGGGTGAGAGTGCACCTCTTTGTCTGGAATGTCGAGATGCGCGCAGGGTATCAAAATACTCGAAAGCACTTGCTGTATGAAGCGGGGCTAACGTGTCGAGGTACCCGAGGTGGGATGGAAAGTTGACAAGGTCCGTCCAGGCAGGTGTGGGTCCTCAGTGGTCTAATCTGAGTAGATGAGAGAGCCTTCAACGTTGGGCCAGCCAGAAAGGGCCCGAGGGCCGGAGCCAAATGTCGTCATATTTTTTCAGGGTTTTTGACAGTGTGTCTATTTTGATATCCCATGCACCGCTTCGGCGGACGAACATCGCCCCGACGACCCCTCTTATGGTGAGTTATAAAGCCCCAAGAGCGTTCGTCCCAATGACCCGACAGAGGTGCACTTAACCTTGGGTTTCGCCTGCAAAGTTTCTTCTTGAACCCTGTCCCAAGCCTCAAAAACCGGAAACTAAGATTCTTAGTTTGACTCTATGCAGTGGGAGCTGAAGGACTTGGAGCGGCGGATGAAGAAGGAGAAGGTGACCGGCTTCTCCCGGACGCTTGTCGCAGCGTCGTACCGCGAGGGGAAGTCGTTTGCGCTGCAGTCGTCCGGGTTGGGTGCGCTGGAGCCCAATACGCTGCTTATGGGCTGGCCGCACAGGTGAGACAGCGTATGATACTTTCCGCATCGCTAAGGGTCACTTCTTCAACGAATGTCAAAAGGTTCCGAGTCTTACATGGGCGCTTAAGCTCAGGATGCTGCGTACACGTGGTTAGGGTGCAGTTGCTTGCGCTTTTCATTGTTCTACGACTCCGCCTTTCGAAGCACTCGAGCACAAATGCAATGCCCCCATGAGGTGTAGCGCTCAATTCTCAAGACCTTGATCCGCAAGGCTCTGACTCTCGAGTCTGACATTTCACAAGGCTTGAAAAGACGCTGAGCCGAAAGTCACAGCAGCTAAGATATTGAGTCCGAAGAAGTCCGCTGATGCGTCTTACGGAGCAGAAGCATCCTTGATGACGCGCCCTCGAGTCCCAGAATTCCGAACACTTTCTCAAATCGGGCGACTATCTGTCTCCAGGTGGGCGGACCCCGAGCATCCCCACAATGCGCGCAACTTCGTCGAGACGCTCACGCAGTGCAATACGACCTCGAAGGCCGTCCTCGTATGCATGAACCTGGACTCTTTTCCGCGGCGCTCAGAACGTATTGAGGGCACCATCGACGTATGGTGGATCGTGCACGACGGGGGCCTGCTCATGCTGCTCGCGCACCTGTTGCAGCAGCATAGGGTATGGAACAAGTGCCGGCTGCGCGTTCACACCGTCTCGGAGGAGTGGGACAACCCGGTGACGGTCAAGGCGAATCTGGAGAAACTCCTGGAGCAGGTAAGCGGTGTGAATAGGGACAGCTTGGAGTGCTGGGAGTAGCATACGGCCTTGAAGGGGCGCATTCACATGTTAAACTGAATTTGAAACCCCGTGACGGTCAAGGCGAATGTGGAGAAGCTCCTGGAGCAGGTGGGCGGTGTGAACAGGGACGGACTGGAGTGCCGTAACTATTTGTTGGGTCTAAAGGCGCTTATTCACATCTAGTTTAGATGTAGGACAAGAGAGTGTCGGTCAAGGCGAATGTGGAGAAGTCCCTGGAGCAGGTGGGCGGTGTGAATATGGACGGACTGGGATACTCGTCGCTTTTCGCGTTTCTAGAATCTATGCAACGTTAATGTCATACCTGAGTATTCACCAATACGTTCTCTTCAAATCCTGAGCTCAGTTTGGCATCACAACTAAAAGTAAATGCGACAATCAGTCTGGAACACCTCTCTTTTACGAACTTCCAAAGGCTGGTCAGGTTGGTCTAACCTGGTCGTCAACCTGTATTTGCAGATCAGAATCAAGGCCGAGGTCGACGTGGTTGAGCTAACCGACGGCGACATCGGTCCGTACACTTTCAACAACACGCTCAAGTTTGAAGAGGCCAAAAAGTACAACAAGGAGCTGCAGCAGATCATCAGCCGGTCGAGGAATCCGAAGCTCGACCGCGCGTTTGGGCCGGAGAGCAGCAACGAAAACACGTTGAACAGCGAGGATGCGCTCATTCTCAAGGACATGGTTAGTGTCGAAACTTTAGTTTTTGCCAAACCGGGACTCGTGTTACAGGTCACCGCTCGAGAGTGCGTGGTTTTTAAACAGGGTCAGGAACGAGTCACTTGTAAGAACTAGAACTAAGGTCAAAGACAGGGTTATCGCGACGTTAGGTAAGAATTCACAGAAAGAAGGCTGGTTAGCCGGCAAAGTTTACATCCACAACAGAGTCGACCCTGCTTTAGCATGACGGTCGTTTTCCACTCGCACGCGTACACCAGCAAACGGTCTCCAACTGTTCTACTCGCTTCCTGCCACCGTTTCCTTTGAGTTCCGTTCCGTCCTCGCCCATTTCAACGTCATTCCGTTCCGTTTGCAGAGCGCCGGCCGGTTGCACCTGTCCAAGTCGTTGCCCAACATAGAGGGCGGCAAGTACGGATCTTCAGACGACGACGAATCGGACGCTGATGACGTCACCGATGACGTGGCAGCTGATGACTCGGTACCCGGCTCCCCGCCGCTGCTCTTCCCGGGGGAGATTGGGATGGTGAAGGGAGCGGAGAACGTCAGCCGCAGCAGGTGAGGCCCCGTTGAATGGCTCACGACGGGTTCGTGACCGGTAAAGATGCGCATGTGCTTTGCTGACGGGGCCCTATCAGAACTCAGCCCCCGGATAACTGCGTAAAGGGACTTTGTCAACCGTCGAGTGCGGGTCGTTGGGGGTAAGGTTGTTGCCACAGGCACCGGGATGAATAGAATCACCTTCTATCGAAGTGTGCTCTACAGGAGCCAGAATCTGCTTTTCACGCCTTTGTGCAGAGTTTCAGTGGGTTCCGACACGGCTGGCTGCACTCTCACCTTCGTGATCGCATACTTTCTTTCGGCTTCGTGCCATCGATCGGCTTGGGCGCGTGAGAAGCCAACCGTGTTTGAAAGTTCGAAAGTTCCTTTGTCTGTTGTATCGATATCGTCTCCAGATCAGTGAGTTTCAAGGGGTTTCGACCCTGAACTGCTCTTCCATCGTGCAGGAACCCGAAGCTCGACGCAGCTTTCAACCGTCACGACGACGAAGCTCCCGAGCCGACACGTGGCCCGATCGGGATGAGCCGGTTGGGGGATCCCTCTCCGTCGCATGCCCCCGCCGTGCGGCTTGTCAAGAGCGACCTCGGCGGGGGTTTGGAGGGTTCGGAGCGGAAGCGCGCGGTCGCAGAAAAGTTCAAAGATCTTTGGGATAATGAGGACGAGTCGGAGGAGCCGGCTGGGGTAGGGTGGAGTGCTGACGTGGCAGACGACGTGACGGGTGACGTAAGGAAGTCGTCCGCCGGGACGCGTTTTGAACGGAAGGGGTCGAGTGTGAAGAGGGACAGCTCGGCGCCAGAGCTCGCTCGGATTCCCGAGGGTGAGGGTATTCACAGCGAGGAGGGGGAGGGGAGTAGCGTCCAGCAGGAGCTGCCGGGCAAGCGTTACAAGCGGGTTCAGATTGCGGAGGAAATCCACGTGATTGACAACGAGGAGACGTCGGGCAGCGGGAGCGGAAGCAGCGATTATGATCCCGGGAAGTACAGTGAGAATACGCTCGACAGTGAGAATACGATCGGGTCGGAAGAGAACCTGACGATGCAAGAGCTGAACGCGACACTGATGGGCAATCCCAACTTCCGGTCGAAGGGATACCCCGGTTCTCCTCTGGATCCGAAGCCGTCCTTGTTAAGGGAGACGGCTAAGGAGCGGACGTGGAGCACGTTCACGAAAGGAGGGTCCATTTCGCCCGCGCCGCTCAACCGGCTGATCGTGGAGAAGTCGGCGGATGCGGCGCTGGTTTTGATCAACTTGCCGGACCCGTTTCTGAACATGCAGCCGGAGAGGTACATGATATACTGCGAGGAGTTGACCCAGGGGTTGAACCGCGTGTTACTGGTGCACGGGTCCGGAAAGGAAGTGGTCGCCAAGTTGTAACTTGGGAAAAGGATTGATGTTGCAATAATGTGCGTCGGCTGTATTTGGAGGGCGGCCTTTGTGAAGCAGAGTTTCTGCCTCGTTTAGTCATATACTCTAGAAGAACACAGGACCGTGCTAGGCATTCTTGGCCCAGCAATTTTTATACTAGATCTTTGGCATTGAAGCAGAATTCTACATGTACTTAAATGGTCGACATAGTGTTAAATTGAAACGGTTACGTAATCTACAGCAGGATACATTCCTTTGACAAAGGACATGTTGTGTTATTCGCAAATTGTCTTTCCGCGAAGGGCACCAATCTGCATTGGTGCATTGGTCCACCGACCGGGCCAAAGTATTGGCCAACTCACATGACCATGAAAAGCTAGCGGACTTTCTTGAGAAGAGGATTGGCTGGGCAAAGCAGTAAAGCTTGTCTGATCGCCTGGGCAAAGTGGATCGACAGCTCTTTGTATCGAATTTTTGCAATTCCAACGCGTATTATGGGGTAAAGTTCCAGCTCCGACCGTGTCTGACTACCGTGCGACTCAAGACCACGTACGTCATGGCACCAACTAACGGCGTACTATAAAATGATTTTGGGAGGCTCTGCTACTGCCGAAGGGTGACCACGGAGCACTACAAGTATAAACAAAGCAGCTAAGGCTCCAAAACTACCTCCCTCGCGCTTGCTCGCAGTCGATCGATTTGCCTTACTTCTTGCATGTGCACCGCCAGTCAACCGATAACTCGCGACTCATACTGACCCACAACTGTGATGACCCTCCTTAATTCAACCACTGTGACTAGACCGTCAGCTTACAAAGCTTCGAGACCTCAGACGACCAAACATACATTGTCTTAGTGCACTTCTGAGGCCTTCAGAACCTCTTCTATTGCTGCCTCGTACACCTTATCCGATGGATCGAGGTCCTTCACGAGCCTTCGAACCCCCCTCAGCATCTGCGCAACGTCCGAGAACCAACTAGAATGTGCACGTCGCACCCGCAGGACCCGCAGGCCCGTTCCAGCTTCTTGTGGCTTTGGACCAATTTGAGAAGGTACAACGTTTTACTATGCAGATCCACTGCTGCTGCTTCGGCGGACCAGCCAGTATTTGGAGTCACTTGATGTATGAAGTCTAGTACTGGTGGCCACAGCTTCCTAGGGTCAGGAGTGCTTGAGTAAGTTCCACCGAAGATGGCCAAAAGGAAGCAGCCAAGCGGACGGAGCTTATCCTCTCTGGTCAATCTGCCATTGATATCGCTCTCCAAGCTCCGCAAAAACTTCAGCAGCTCTTTGGCAATTTCCAAGGGGAAGCGGCCTCCATGTTTCAGCCAACAGCTAAAGAGGCGCTCGGCATGCAGCTTGAACTGGGAGCTCCTTTCCAGCTTGTGATCCACGAAGTGCTTGCCTTCAACAACGTATGGGTAACACTCGCTGATAGGATACCGATCAATGTATACAATGCGCCTTTCATCCATAGTGGCGGCGACTTGAAGGACCCGTTTGATGACAACAGAAGGAGCATCATCTGGAAGAGGACACCGCCTTGCAGAGTCCCGGAAAGCTCTGTTGACTTGTTTCAGATGCTCCAAGCTTGATGGATCAGCCTTCACAGCCTTCTGGACGATGCAGTCCAAAAGAGCTGGAGAGAGGCTGTCAAAAACATCCGAGTCCTGGATATCCTTTTGCAATTGCTCTAAGGCCATTTCAAAGAGGCAGTAAATCCATCCACAGATCCATCCACTCTCAAGGAGTCTCCCCCACCGTGCGACCAGTGTAGATATGATGATGCCCATGATCTGATCTACCATCACTGCTTAGCTTGGTTCAAGGCTACTCTCCGCTGGCCTTCGCTGACAGGGTTGTTTGGCTTGCGTCTGTAGGCTTCGTCCTCGTTGGAATCATCTTTTGTTTATCCAATTCTCCAACGATGCAAGCAAAGGCGGCGCACTTGACTAGAAGAGCGAAAGGACTTCAAGAGGGCTTCCAGCTTCTTCGGACCCCGCGAAGGAGCGAAGCGGGTCCAAGCTCGATCATGAGTCATGACTTACAGAAAAGTGCTGCAAAGCCGACTGGCGACCATGCCCGGCAGACTCAACTTTGAAGCCTGCATCCGATCCTGACAGTGACGACCCACGTCAGCCCGCGGCCGGCCCCGGCGCCCCATGCACCGCGGCTGCATGGCGCGCCGCCATTCAAATTCTGACTCGGAGGGGTGTACAATCTTCAAGGAACCCTAATAACCGTCCGATCGGCCTGTTTGCTTGCGAGGACTGGATCGGACGGCACATATCAAGACCTCAGCAATCTAGATGCTTGCGCGGCCGCCCTTAGCGCCCCGGGTTTAGCCTGTTATATGCCAGGTGGCAGCCTGAGTCAGGAGAGCTGATGCGACTAGAATGATTCGAGAAGAGACCTGAAAGAGACCCTGCATTATGACATGATTGAGCCTGAGGGCGGCTGTTCCAAACAGGGTCCTTGATGACTTTGGTTGGAACCGAATGAGGCCTGGATTCTGGAAGGTGGAGGCTGGCCACCACTTAGAACAGGCTGTTGCCATTGGCAGATCCGGGGGAGGAACCTCTTTCCACTCGGCTAGCGCATTCTGAACCGATGGCCCTGACGCTGGGAGCGGCAGACCTTTGGATGTGTGCCGGGATTCTGGGGCAGGTCCCAGCTTTGGTGTGGCTAGGCCTCAGCGCAGTGATTGTTTGTGCCCTTATCTATTGGGCTTTGGACTTCTACTTCCTTGAGGCACTGCTCACTTGCTTTGCCGTAGCGGTGGAAGTAGGCACAGAGTCGCCTGTTTCACGACTTGTGGCAGAGAGATGCGTCAGTCTCAAGCGAAGGTGAGACTCCGCATTGAGCCGCTGCTCCTGTAATCTGCTTCCAGTTTCTAGAATGTCCTTATCTTAAAAGTGGATAGAGCATTTATGTTGAGTGGTCAGGCTGGTGGCAGAAAGCGGGGAACTTGTCAATCATTTGCAATGGTTTTCACTCTTGTTGAGAAGATGGAATGAGCAAGCGAAGATCACGTCAGCAGACCACCTTATTTGAACGATGATGTTTGGATTCCACCATTATATTAGACTTTGCATCTCTTGACACTGTACTTACGTCCTTTCAATGGATCAATGAAAGAGCCTCTGTCACATTGTTGACCACCTTGAGACTAGACTGGCGCCACAAGCAAGAATCAATGTATGATCAAGCAGCCAAGCACACCATTGTAATGAGGGGGATGCCTGAAGATCCTTGTGTTGGTCAAGTTGCTAGTTTCCTCTAGAAGGTGAGAGATTAGAGAATGCGCTCTGGATTAGCTTGAGGCTTAATCATAGCGACCACCTGCTTTGCCTCTTGGAGAATGCTATCAAAGGTGCAGATGTCAGGTCAGGGATGCAATTATTGTTTGAAGCAGAAGTACTTTCTTCAGTTGTCCAACCTTGGTGCAGATACCGCTCGACACCCTGGCTCTGCAGCCCCCACCTGCAGACTGTGTACCTCCACTTTGATCCTTGGAGTCCTGTTGTCAAATATCGGAGGTACACTTCTTTTCTATCTTTCTCAGCAGATAGCTAAGAATGATTGAGTGGTACGAACGGAAGTCTGATGAATTTGCACGCAACTGACTGATCAATCCGAGTTCCTAAATGCATACATTGAAATACAAGCGAAAAGTGTGTGCTTGAGATATGGAGGGATATCGTGCATAAATGCTCTTTCAAGTTGGTGATTCCAATCAGTGCAGACAACCCTGCTTCTCTTGAAGGTGTTCTCATCTTTTGTACCTTTTCAAGTATACTCCTTCAATCAAACGCAGGTAGGATCTAAGGACCTGTCTCGTTGAACGGACTGGATTCAAGTTTGGACCTTTTGAGCTAAGGAACAAGGCTACACGAAATCGAAAATAGCATTAGTGTCAGTGTGCACCATGACTTTCTGCATTATGGCTTCCGCTGAGACATGTGGTGTGCCTGACTCCAAGCTTGGATGGCAGCCATTGGAAAAGCTAGCCTATCCTCTACACATATTGCACAATTTCTGGTCGCCGCTCTTCAATGGTTGTTTTAGAGGGATGCTAACAACAGCACTTATTGCAAAGGAGAAAGGTTTCAGGGTGTAATGGAGAAACACGTCCCAATCTTTAACCAGGCTGTGGACAGTCCGCTAGCAATTGACGTTCCTCAAAACGAGTTGCAGTGCAAATAGGCACCAGAAAGCTTGATTGTCAAATCGGAGTCTTCAAGCAGCGAAGCAAGTCCTGGCTTGTGTCCCCATTTCTGATCCCCTCTGCACATTCAGACTGTAGCAGGACACTTCAACCAGACCTTGTGTTCATCACACCAACCTTCTCCTCACCAATGGTAAATCACTCTTCTGACCATTGACACCCATCTCAACCGCCTTCTAAACTCTTGAGTGAAGCATCTCACAAGCCGTTCCTCCACGCAGAGAGGTGTTCCGACTTTCAGATGGGGGCTCTGTCGGCCTTGATTGGTCGGGAACTGAGCAGCCAACGACCCCCACAGTCGCCATCATCCCAGGATTGACAAGCGACTCCAGCAATGCTTACCTCAAGTACCTGGTTGCTGACATCACCGCAAAAGGCTGGCGGTCGGTCGTGATAAACCACCGGGGCCTGGGAGGAGTCTCGCTGACGGTGAGGAAGCGGTGACGCAGGTAGTAGCAGCTTTGCAAGTGCTTCTTCACTTGTGCTGTGCTGTGGTGATGAGCCACTTCTTCCAGGGTCGAAGGAGATTCAACAGGAAGAAGCATCGTTGACTTTCCGGCAAAGGTGACAGGTTGCTTATGTTGGACAATTTTCTGAAGAGTAGCAGTGATGCACCTCCAGCAAAGCGCGTTGCATCCAAGTGTTGCCATCACTGGTTGCCTGGATGTGCTTGCATATAAGACCTGGAACAGTCGATCTCTTTCAGCTGCTTCGTTTTTAGCGTCTCTTTGCTGAGGAGTGCCCTGCGAAGAATCTGCACACAGTAGAATCCTTCTCTGTTGACACGCTTGCAGTCCGAACAATCTTCACCTTCTTTGTTTGGTACATGTCAGCAAACGAAGCTTTAAGAACATCATAAACATGTATCTTGTGAATCTCTCTCTTCGTTAATTGAGTCCCTCGGGGTGCGTTAAACGTACATTTGCAGTCCCAAGTCCTCCTTACGTGCCAGGAATGTTCCGCTTTCCTTTCCGAAGTGTACATGTCGACGTGCAGTCCGAAACCTTCTACAATGCCGGCTGGACGGACGACATGCGCGAGGTCCTCTCTGAGATCGGGGCTCGGCTGCCTTCCGCCCCCCTGGCTCTAGTTGGTGCCAGCCTCGGGGCAAACATGGTGATCAAGTTTCTTGGGGAGGAAGGAGCAGACTCCCCGGTCTGGGGAGCGGTTGCGATCGGGTGCCCGTTTGACCTGCTGGTCTGCGACCGGTTCATGAACAGGACGTTCGTTCAGGTGAGGAGAAGGGTTTTGCGGGTCAATATTGTGAGTCAAATTGGATAGAAGTATGTAGGGAAAACATGTGAAAGCGTGGGGGAAGCTCGAAGTTACTGGCATTTCTTTGCCTTGATCTGAAGAACTTTTCTCAGAGATCGGGACGGTTCGGCTGTTGCAATTTGACACATGAGCTGTTCGATTCGCCGTCATCGACTCGCATCTGAGAAACCGGCTGGACAAACCATTTTGACTGATTGACTGAAGGCTCTGCTTGTACTAGATTTCTGGTAGCGCAGGACCCAAAGGTTCAACACAATTCAAAGGCTCGTCCTTCGTTGGTGGGGATAAAATCGACAACCTCGGGACATTGAGAACGTCTGGATTCAAGAGCAATGCTTTCCCATGAACTTTATGAGTCCAAGATCATATGAATCTCAATATTTATCGGTGTGACAAACACAAACACGCTATCTCTGTGCAGCGGTTCTGGAACTCGGCGTTGGCGCACGGTCTCAGGGAATTCGCGGAGCTGCACAAGGAGCCTTTCTCCAAGTTTGTCGACTTCACGAACCTGCAGCGCTCGCGCACGCTGCGCGAATTTGACGACCGCATCACACGCTTCACGGCCAACTTCGAGGTGCGTCGTTGCTTTTGGTCCTGCTCTGGACGGACCGGCGAACGTTGGAGATAAAGCTGATGCGAGTGCGAGATTTCTTGCGGATTGGTCTCTTCACCCGTATGACTAGTGTGCCAGAGGGTATAAGTGCCTCACCAAGCAAACCGCTAAGGACAGGAAAGTATCCAGTTCTGTCCCTCAAATCGCGAGTTGTCAACTTTCAGCTCGCCCCCAGACAGTCTAAACCTATCACCACTTCTAATCGCTTTGTGCGATCCAGAACAGAACCTCAGCCTACCAATCAGTGCAAGTCGATCAATTGACAGGCTGCTAAATCAAACCCTTCACCAATTCTCCCAGACGGTCGACACGTACTACCGCCGCTGCAGCAGCGCCCCCTTCGTCACCGCCGTGCGCACCCCCCTGCTCGCGCTCAGCGCCCTCGACGACCCCATCTGCACCAAAGAGTCCATCCCCTGGGACGAGTGCCGCCTCAACCCTTACGTCACTCTTGCCACCGCCCCCCGGGGAGGCCATCTCGCAATCTACGACGGGTGGCTCCCGCGGCGGCTTTGGTGGACCAGACCCTGCGTCGATTTTCTGGGGGGGATTTTCGACGTGGGGTACAGAGGGCTCGAGCCCGTGCAGGCGGTAAATGGGACGGTTCCACGTGGCCCCCTGCCGTTGGTCAAGGGAGTCGGGGAAGAGACGGCGCTGGAGAACGGGTGGGCGGTCGAGACGTGCAACGGTGTGACCGACGCCCTGATTGACGCTGAGGTGAAACCCCGCAAGGTGCTCGTCACACCGAAAGTGGGCGCCAAGCCGAACGGCGTGTTGCCGCAGATGAACGGTGTGACGCACACGGTGCTGGACCGGTTGGTGGGCACCCCCAAACGGGCCGCGAAACCAAACGGGGTCTTGCTAACCCATGCAAAGGAGCCAAATGGTGAGGCGTACGACCACGCTTGGGCGTCCGAAACGTGGAGCAAACCGTCCGAAGCCCCAGTCAACGCAGCGGACACCCCGGGCAAGGTCACCGGGAGTGCGAGCAAAGCGTCCGTAAATGAGGGCGAAGCGTTCAAACCCCCGTCCGAACCCCGGGACAAGGCGTCCGACAACCGGGAAAAGGCGTCCGAAACTCCGGGCAATGCGTCCGAATCCCCGGTCAGAGTGTCGGCGAACAGCACTCCGCTCCGGAACGGGCGTCTGAAGCGCATTGTCATCGAGTTTGCGGACGAGAGCCAGGCGGCGGCAGTCGAGGCCTTCTTGTCGGAGATCCTCAAACAGGTAGGGCAACTCACTGGCCGTTCTCCTCTGGGCTTTGCGAGGTTTTCTGGCTCTTGGCGAGTTTCCAAAGACGGTCTGCGAAGTTGCATGTCAGAGGTTTTCTCCGTCCGCCACAGATTAGAGCCTGTACGAAAGAGTGTGAGTAGACAAATCAATCGCCTCGAGGAACAGCAGTCCCTGGCTTTCAATTGAAGATCCGAGTCTGCCTCGTAACTTCGTGTCGGTGCTTGGTAGTCCCTCTTGAATGTTCAGCCTCGAGTGTGTGCTCTGAGACTTCATCTTACGCACGCAAAAGTTGTTCAAGTAGCATCAATGTATGTGCCCTGGAGCTACTGAAAAGTCTGACTCTTTTGTCATACCGCATGGCTTATTCGCGGAATTTCTCCTGGTTGCTATTCTACCACTACATTGCAGCCCAATGTAAAGAGCGGTTGCCTCCCCCGTCTTGGTTCAATTCATGGCTCTACTTGGGTGAAATGCTCAAATTCTTTCCTGGCTTTCAGATGCGAGGAGTCGCTCCCACCCCCCGAAGCGCCCACCAGTCGCTGAACGACGCCGCTCTTGCGGCCTCCACGGCTGCGGCGTCCGCATCTGCCGTTGCAGCCGCCGCCGCCGCCGTCGTCCGAAGCGCGTCCGCAGCGACAATTGCCGTCCGAAAATCTGAAACCCCTCCACAAGATCAGGACGGCGAGAAGCGGCCGGCATTGGATAGCACTCGGTACTCTGAGTTGATGAGCTGCTACAACCGGCTGGCGATGCATGGAAGCAAGAGTGCGTGGCTTTTGGCTTACGTTGCGGTTGCCGTTAGCTTTCCGCTGGCCGGAGCGCTCCTACGGATGCAGGCGGTGCAGAGAATGAAGGCGTCAGAGCGAGTGCTGAGGCTCAGCCGGAAAGTGGGCTTGAAGTGAGGTCATGATATTAAGGTTCTGGTTCGAAAGGTGTTTGTAGTTTGCTACGGCTATGACGGCCAGGTTTGTGATTGAGACAGTCACAGAGCGGTTTTGTGTTTGGTACTGCGTTTGATGAGTATCGTCAAACTATTAGACTCGGTGCTATGACTATTTCTTGAGGTCTATAAGTAAGTCTACGCTTCCAGGTTTTGGGCCGTGTATACGGGAAATTGTGGCTTGTACGGACGGTCTCGGGCTGGAATTGAGAAACTTAAGATTCTATCAACCTGTGCGCTACTTTTAGACTATTGATAAGCAGTCAAGGTATTGTACTGTGCAGTTACAAGACAATTTTGTGGTAACAATTTGCTTGAACTATTATTGAAAGCTATACCGGCCATGTATCACTTTTCGCTGCGCTAAAACAGAAAGTCGCATATGAGACTCATTGGCGCGCCCTTGCATACACACGCCAACTCTCAAAGAGTCGTCCTGCAATTCAGGTAACCATCACATCCAGGCGGCCGTCTAGTCAAACGCAAACGATCGATGCACTTCAAGTTAAATTGTGCGCAGCGCCGGCGCAGATTTTGCATGGCCGGAGGCCTAGGAATGCCGGTTGCATATGCAGCTGACAAATGCTATGAAGGCAGTATATAAAGTGACGTGGTGATCCGACGGCGAGATCTGGTTCAGCATTGGATCATGCACACTTGAGCTCCTTCATTTCCATACGAGATTCATCTGGTCGATCTCGAAGCTCGTACCGTAGCCTCCACCCCACTATACTCCTCCTGAGAATCTGCCACCGGCACGCACAAGATGCGGCTTCTCTTGAAGATCCTCCATCCTCCTGGTTCTTTAGGAGCCTTGGAGACTACAGTCATTTTGTTTTCGAGATAAATAAAACAACATATGGAATTCTGCTGAATTCTGTATGATGAATGTGCCAGCTTGCAGGAGCTTGCAAAAGCGCGTTTCTACAATGACCAATTACAGATGGGACTGAGCGCTGAAGGAAATGTTCCTGAGAATGTGAAAATTGGACGCTGGGGTGGCCGCGCCTTGTGCGCGATTGTTCGGGAATTGCGATTGCGTCACTGCAAGGCTGGATATACATGGAGGAAACATACCTTAAAAGCTCAGAAGGTCGCTCAAACCCGTCCAAGTGACCGTACTGAGCGCTTTATGTAACTCTTAGCCAAAACCTTCCGGTTTGTCGTAAAGGGCGAAACTTCCGGCGACTTGCTGCACCACAAGTTGATGAGAGAATGCATGTCAACGGTCGGAGAACTTCCCTCAACGACTCCGTGCATGCATGCAACTTCGGCGTGGCTCTGTCGATCCTGTTTGAGGTCGAACGCACCGCCAAATCGGCTTGGAAGAAGCGGAAGCAATTCCAGACCGCATAGCAGTGCTATGAAAGCTTTTCAGAATGCGCCTCGAAAGCAGGGCTGAAGGCTAGCTAGGTCCCCTTCTTGCGCCTCTTCCTTGTCCTCATAGAAAGAACGACAAGCACAAAGTGCCAGAAGCAACAGGTAATCAATGTTCCTCGACTGACCAAAGAGCTTTTTTCCGCTCTGAAAGTATCGCGTTCTGGCTGCGAACGCGTTTTGATCTCTACAAAAAGCTGCATTGAGCCGAAAGAGGAGGGACATGTGGCAGAAATTGCCTTACCGAGTAGACAAGCTTGAGCCCATTACACAGGGCAGTGAAACTGACTCAACCTGTAAGATCAATCAAGGCTGCAGAAAGAAGCCTCAGAAACGAAAGCTGCATTAGAAAAGTTGCACAAAAACGGCGCGCAAGAAGCAAGGTTGCCGCTTGTAATCATACCTCCAATGGGCGCTTGCTTCACCAGGCCCCATGCACGGGCGCCGGCCTTCGTGCCACGTGGCAGCAGATCGAAGCGCGTGCTGTGCGCAATCAACGGATCAGAGGGCTCCCTGCGCGCGCTGCGGTTTGCGCGGGACGAAGTGCACAACCCGGGGGACCAGCTAATCTTGTTCCATTAGCTGGTCCCCCGGGTCGTCTCACAAACGTGGGTCCTAGAAGATAACTCAGCCCTTGGGTAAACACGCCTTGTTAAAGACACTAACCGGATTCGCAAAATGAACACACCTTGTTAAAGACACTAACCGGATTCGCAAAATGAACCTCTGAGCGAAAGGAGACTACTCTCGCTTTTCCCTGTGGGTGATTTTTTGTGCTTCTCCGATACACCTTTGAAGAACCAAACATTCCATGGAGTCGGATGCGTCCCCCTCAAATCGAAGTCCACATTGAAAACTTGCACGCCGTTTGGATCGGTTGTGTCGGAAGCGGAGCGCTGAGGTGTTTCACCCGGTCTCGTATCGTAGAGCACAATTTGCCTCGACCACAATGAAGTTCAGTGAAACGCCGTTCCGGAAGGTCACATTCATCCAGGCTGTGGCTAACAAGCGCGAATCGTTCTCTAGAATTTTTTCTTCGTTGGCCTAAGCGTGTCAGGCCCAAGGATTTAAGTTGAAGGCCGCAGAAAAAGTCTCTAAAACGGTGGTCGTCTTCATAGAGTATCTTAATCTCGTAAACTCGTGCTGCAATCTCACAGGTGAACTCAAAAAGTGGACCCATCGTGCTTATTTCTGGGAGTACTCTTCAGACTCTGTTCACGCGACGATGCGGAATCCAAGGATTTCCGGAAGGATTTACAAAGATATTGCCCCCAGAATTGTTCCGGTCAGCCTGACGGGCTTGCAAACTTTTTCCGTCGCTCCTACGTCAGACCTTTGGAGCACAGGGTCTCTTGTCAATCGCCTTTTCTTCTTCTCTGCATTCTTTATTCCACCCTCCTTTCCTCCCATATTTCACGAATCATTCTGTAATAAGTCCGCACAGGCTTTTCTGGCGGTTAACCATAGTCGGTTACGGGCTTGTTCGAAGCTGGTTAACTGTTCAACGACCAGACTCGAGCAGTAGCCAGGTTTTTATCACGGCTATTTTGCGGCTGCTTTTCAAAGGACCAGACTGAAGTTTGGTTATCGAACCTGGTTAGCAGCCAAACCTTTCCGCGGCCGCTTGTGCGCGCGCAGTTTTCAACGAGGATATCGTGGTCATGGTGGATCACCGGTGGGCGCTGGTCCAGGGCCAGGCCGAGCGACGAGCCCTCCGGCGCTTGCTGGAGCTGATGAACGAGCATGACGTAAGCATTAACCACCGCTGACCAGTCATGACGTGATCGTACTCAGCCCGTGATGGATTATGTGCGAGCAGCCATTGAAAACTTACCGAGTATGACAGAAGCGATCTTGCCGGACGATCGAGTATGACGTGAGTAGTTCCATGCTTGAGCGATTCCTTCGTGGTTGACCTGCTTAATCCCAGTGTCGTTTTGATCGCTTCCTGCAAAAGTGCCAGCAAAATCCAAGCTCGTCAATTAGAACGTGAAAAATTCTTTCAGTGTCGAGAACTCCCAGCTTGAGCGCAGGTATTTTCAGTCTGGAAGCCCCGTCGAGAGACCTCTTCTAAGACAGCTGCACAAGCAAATTGTATTGGGCGGTCTTGATACCGAAATCTGAATGTGATCCAGAATTCTCCAAGCCGGATCTTCTTTCGTCTGCAGATCGAGGGCCGGTGCTTGGTCCTCATGGGTGATTCCCGGGTGCTGATCCCCGAGGTCGCTTCCAAGTACAAAGCGGACCTGGTAGTGGTCGGGAGAGGGGGCCGGGGGAAACTCAAACGGTGAGCAAGAGAATCAGGCGAAAAGCTTTCTTTACCTTATTTTGACGCTTCGATAAGAAGGCAGGACTCTAGAGATGAGGTGTAATCGATGCAGAGGCGCAATGAACGAACCGTGTAGCTGGTGTTACTTCACGTACCTTGTTTCGAGAAGAAGGTCTCGCGACTTTCGATCAATTCACGATTTTCAGTTCGGCCGGTTTACAGGAGATTGACGAGACTCTGTATGGAGGATGTTTTCGCCGCGTTTGACTGTTGGTAACTGTTCCTTCCCTTCCGCTCCCTTCTCTCTTGTAAGATCAACGGAAAGCTTGAATTTTCAGGGAACGAATAAAAAGTGGTACCAAAATGTGCTCTTGTTTACCTTACTTGAGCTGACTGTGTTTCCAGCTCGTAACGCAAGCGATTACATAATCACTGATCAGCTTGACTGGTCGAGACTAGTCCCGTCTCCCGGCTTCATCTACGCCCAATCCCCAGATCATATTTCCAGAAAAGTTCGTCGAGGCTGCTATTTGTTGGACGAGAACAGAAGGGTTACGGTTTCAAGGCGGTCCTTGGAAGGCGGTCCTTGGTTCGCCGAAATCCAGGGTCTCGAACTCGTTCAGCACAAAGGTCTAGCTCTTGCAGATCGAGCTCTTCGTTTGCACGACACAAGTGGCCCCTTCCAACTCGATACCAGAAAGGAGGACAAGGGCCCTGGCGCCGTTCGACGGCCCTTTGAAGCCGTGGCCCCCTGCTTCCTTCCTCGAACCCTCAAAACCCCAAAACAGGGAACTCTGAGCCTTCGTGACTGGAAATTATGACGGGGGTTCTCTTGCAGGTGTCTTCTGGGAAGCCTAAGCTCCCATCTCGTGCGCCGTTGCCCGGTGCCGGTGCTCGTGGTTCCGCCGGGGCCGGAAGGCAGGCCCCGACCGGAAGCGGCCGATGAGGGCCCGCAGGAAAGCGCCCGGGGACAGTCAACGGACATTGTAGCCGGGGCACAACCTAGTTCTTCGGGAGGATCGAACAGTGAGGGGTCACAATATAGTGCCCCAGAAGAAGTGACCGACACTTCGGGGCGGCAAGCTGGTACCTCAAAAAGATCAAACGACGAGGGTTCAAAAGATAGTGCCCGGGAAGATTCAATCGACACTGCAGGAGCACATTCCCGTACCGGAAAAGGAACGGCCGAGAAGGCGCGTCAAGATAAGGCCCCGGGGAACCCAACCGAGCGGGACAACGGCCCACAAGATAGTACCCGGGGAGAGTCACTCGGCAGCTTGGGGCAACAAGTTACTAACCCGAAAGAAAACGCCGACGAGGGGCGGCATAACAGGGCCGGGCCGGGAAAGTTTACCGTTTGGCTACCAGAAGTCAGTTTCCAAGGACAGGCAAGAGAAAAGAACCCACAACTCACAAATCCGGGGATCGGAACCAACGATCTGGGGCCACAAGCTGTCAGCCCCCTGATCGGAAAGGAGCCGGCCAACGAGGGGACACGAAGGGCTAAGCGGAGATTTGTCGTTCCCCCAGAGAAAAGTGCCCGGGAGGATGTGCCGTCAGAGGAGATAACGATCGACAAAGAATCGTACAGGTTGAGATTAAACGTGTCGCTGTAGCTAGTGTCCTCGCGTCTCATACGAGAAATTTGAGAAGAGTGAACGGACTGAAGCTCTTTGGTCGACTCAGGATTTTTGGTTGTATTCATCATTGTTCGGAGGCTTCGACAGTAGGCTGGTGCCTCAAGAGCCGCATGGTTGCAGAGACCATTTGAAGCCGCGAATATCTGTGGGTATAGGCCCGGAGATCAAAATAAATACAGAATAAGATAAATTACCGGTACAGGATTGATCCTCGTACATTCTGAAAGGGACGCATTTCGGTTAGAGGCTGGCTTGCAGACCGAGCGTGTACCGGGTGTCTAGAGTGTCACTTTCTCAGTATTGCACATGTGACAGCAATGATTCCAATTGAGGGAGCATTGTGTACGTAACAGACGTGTTCGATTTACATCCTTCGATTCAGACGC